ACATTATTGAATATAAATTAAATAACCATTGTAAAATTAGATAGCAGATTTTCAGATGTTAAGTTAACTTAAAAAAATTAAAGCTACCAAAATTGTTAAAAAATTTCTGAGCCATATGTTTGGCAAAATTGAAATTTTTCTTAGGTTTAAAGATTGATAAAGAATTTCCTAGCTAAAATATTACAAGCTCAAGAAGTTTCAAAGAACGTAATCGAAAAATCGAATCGTAGTGTTATTTTAATAACTATATGGTAAGATAATTCTGTATTCATCTACATGGAACGCATCTTATTATAAGCAAAAATGCCTGATTATTATTTATTATTTATATAATTAAAGCTAGTAAAATAATTTCATTTTTTAATCAGCAATTTCGTTACATTAGACCAGTTATTTAATTTAAGATCTTATTTTTTGAATATAATTCTACTTTTAAATATTGAAATTTATCTTTAAACTATATTGGCTGTATTATTTTGCTATATTTTTAGATCCATTAAAATCACAATTTTTCGAACCACCTAAGTGATTCTGCATCCAGCGCACTGTACAAACTTTTGGCGTCATCGGTCTTGTCTTGCCTACATACATCCCTGTTCGATCAACTCTTTAATTTAACGATGGACGAAAATAAAAGATATTGGATCCCGGATCCTGTTGAAGGATATATTTTGGCCAAAATTGTAGATATAGGAAGCGAACAGATGAAAATGTCACCCATATCTAGACCTAGAGAGGCAAATAAATCCTTCATCCAGATCTTTTAGGTATTATCAGTTCCATACGATAAAGTATTACAAGCCGAAGAGTATGAAAAGTATCCCGATGATCATTGTAATTATTTTTAATTACTAAATATTAGGTGGCCTTATGTATCTCAACGAGAGTACTCTTCTTAATAACATGAGGCAAAGGTATTTAAAGGATAAAATTTACGTAAGCTTCTTAGTTCCTTTTTAATCTTTTTAATTAGACTTACGTTGCTAACATTCTTATAGCAGTAAACCCATACTGTGATATTCGTGATCTATTTTCTCATAAAACCATAGCAAAATATAAGGGAAAATCCCTTGGAACATTGCCACCCCATGTATATGCTATAGGTAATTTTATTTTTAGCTTTATTTGTTTATAATCTAGGTTCAAATTTTACCCGTTTTACTTATTTATTCAAATTTGCATTGCTTTGTTATCTGAATTTATCTTAGATCGAGTAACCTAGGCTTAACACTTATGTCCCTCAGGCATTTTTACTCGCTATAAAAGATATTTTTTTATGTAGCTGATAAAGCCTTTCGTGACATTCGAACATGTAAAGAATCACAAGCTATAATTGTAAGTGGAGAATCCGGTGCCGGAAAGACTGAGACGACAAAGCACATACTCCAGTACCTGACTACTGCTTATGGTGCCCACTCAGGACCTATTGAAGCTCGAATAAATGAGGGTAGGTTCATTTTAAACATAACAAATGGAATATACCAACTTGTTAATTTGAGAAGTATTCTTCTATGCTTTTAAATAAATTTATTTGGCCAACACTTATATATATGTGTTTTTCGTGTATGTTTGTTTGCCATTTGACTAAATTTTAGCTTTAATTATGAACACTTGCCTAAATTAGGTGGTTAATAAATAGTTTGCCTAAGTTCTCTTGATAATTGGTTAATAGGCAATTGAATTATTGGATGAGGCATTATGTTCCACTTCGCATAAGTATGATATTAAAAGATATATCACAGTTTCTATATTCGAAAACTTAAAGTAACTTACATTAAAACTAAATTAACTTAGAACAGCTCTTATTTTGACGCTTAATAGCTTAAATTATTCTCATTAATCGATTTTCAAATTACTTTCATTGTACGCAAAATTATTTATTAACCAGGTTTCTTCTAGAAGCTCCGAGGCCCAAGTAAGTTTGAAATCTATTCAAAAGCTAAAAAGAATGCCTATGCTACTAGAAAAAAAACTTTACGTTTCCAGAATCTACTCTTTTATAATGCTTCTAAAACACAATACCATGATGCCTGCTTACCGAAATTTTCCGAACAGATATTCAGTGTTTATCTGAAAGGGCTTTGAAGTCTTTGAAAAATTTGCAACAGTTTTATAAAATTTAATTAAAGGCGTAGTGCACTTGAGAGGGAAATCAATTCTGAGCAGGATTGTATTATTTATCTAAATTTAGGTCAATTAAATAAAAATTATTTTGATGATAGTTGTCGATTGCCTTGGCCTTAGATGTTGGCGACACCATTTAGTTTTGATAGCAGGTATCCTGACTTTGCTTCACAAATTGATGGAGGCCAGTAAATATTTTATGAGATGTATTCACCATATTTTTTTAATATGAAAAAGAGACTGGTAGTTGAATTCCCCAATAATGTTATGAGTAAACCTTACGTTTCCCTTGAAGTTCATATGGCCTTGCTTCCACAAAAGGTATTCTCATCTAGAGTGGACTTCAGTTTTGACCTCGCCTAGGTCTCATCAGCACCCCCAGTGGGGCCCGAACCATGAAAGTTCAGCGTATAATCTCAAACGTCAAAGACTACACTAAATTGTCGCAAGTGCCATTGGGTCACAGAATAGATGTAAATTTCAAGGAAGGCCAGAGATTTTTCCAATCAAATTCTTTTGTGAGAGCATCGATAAGGCAAAGTTATATTTACTATGACAATCGACTCCATTACTTATTTTTTGTTTTACAACCTGGTTTTCGAGACTAATAGTAGATTATCTATAGAAATAAATATAAGCAATTTAGCTTATCGCTATAGCAAATACAACTTTGCATCATTGATAATCCCCAAACATAATAGGATGTGGTGAAAATTCATATATGTTTTATGACTCAAGGGGACTCGTGTCAACGTGGCGAGGTCGAAAGTGCAGTCCACCCAGGATGAGAATACCTTTTGGGAAAGCAAGACTAGGCAAAATTAAATTGAAACGCATAGCCTATTCATATAATTGTGGGTTACTTGAACTACTAGTCCCGTTATCATCTTAATCGATATACAGTGACTACTTCTCATATATATAATTTAGTGGTAATCTCAAAAACCTGCCTATAAAACAAAGAAGCTGTAAACATTAATGGTTCCTACATACCAAACTAATTTGATAGAAATTACCACCATGGGGTTCGTTTTGGCCATGAAAATATTGTCTGATTCAGTTATTTCGTAATTTTTCGAGCTTGAATATCATTAATATATTCAAATTTATTAAACATTCGATATACCCCAATAATTATGTAGACTTCCTTGCATGACTGTTCCGTATCTTTTGGCTAACTTATACTATCCCTGCTATACGGCCCCTGTACACTTGCACTGAATTTGTTTGTTTGAACTAGCAAATATGTAAACAACCTGACTAAGCCGACTTATATAGGTATTCTCTCGCACTCTGACTAAAGCGCAGTTTAATTGTTTTCCTCAAATTCATCATACTTTTTCATCTAAATCTTTTGTGAAAGCTACCTCCATTTTTTTATGCCAAAAGAACACAGACTGCCTTATAATGGTTGGCTTTATATTTGTCTGCTGATAAACACTATTCACCCGTGCATAAAACTTGAGGTTGGTATTTCCTGAATCTATTTAAATGAGTGACTTTTCAAAAAGATGCCAAACTTTATAAAAATAAACTTGTATTAAACTGGCCGTATGATTAAGTAAACCTGTTATATTTTAGATTATTAAAACGTTTCCTGTGTCTCTTAACTTTCCTTCCATTCTGCCAATATATCAAGGCTTTCATATGTGATCATATTTCATGATAGATGTATTTATTTAGTAGAATACTCTTGATAGTTCATTACAATATTTCCTTGCCTTTCTTCTTTGTTTTCGCGAATATCAGCAAATCCATTGTTGGAGGCATTTGGCAACGCGAAAACTGTACGAAACAACAATAGCAGTCGCTTCGGCAAGTTTATCGAGATATACTTCAGCAATTCAGGTCTCGTGAATGGCGGCTCTGTTGTCCACTATTTATTGGAAAAGAGCCGTGTAGTTAGTCAAAGCCCTGATGAGCGTAATTATCATATCTTCTATCGTCTTTGCGCCTGCCCTTCGATGGAACTTCGTCGCAGCCTCAGACTTAATTCTCCAGATAGTTTTAATGTGAGTTGTCGTGCTGCTCAGAAACTCTTTTGCACGTTCTGTTAAGCCCCATATTTTTGTTCTGAGTTTGCCACCGATATGTGCTTCAGTTATTCTGCATATCAGTATTTAAGGGATAACCGAATCATACCCAAAAGCTTTGTATGCTATAGTTTAGCCTTTTATCTTGTCATTAAGATATTTTTTATGGCCTCAACACTCCAAATTATGTAATCTTCTATGTTGAAAGTATTTAGATAGGTCAATCTATCTCAGCAAGATCAAATTATATTCTCGATGCATTTCTCCTGGAATTGCTTTATGTAACTGAGCAATGACTGTGATTTCTTGACTAGTTAAAAGGGATATATTCACCCAATTTCGTTTAAGGTGATGAAGGACTGGTAGAAGAATTTTCCCACGATGATATGAGTAGAGCTGACGTCTCCATTAAATCTTACATAGCCTTGTTTTCCCAAAAGTTATTCTCATCCAGGGTGGACTGCAGTTCCGACCTCGCATCGGTCTTATCAACACTCCTAGCGGGAGTCGAACCGTGACAGTGCATAATGGGAGCTTGACATCTTAACCACTCGGCCACATTGCCACGAGTGCCCTTGGGTCACAAGGCAACTATGAATTTCAAAGAGGACCAGGCCTTTTGTCATATCATATTCTTTGA